GTCTATCCTGTGCTACTAGTACAGCTGTCTCTGTGTTGCTCTATGTTTTTAGTGAGACTGCTTGAGCTAAGCTAACTCAAAAGGTGTTAACAATGCAGTGAAGACAAGCTCTCACCCTATGCAATGAGATACTCTTTGAGACTAGTGCAACAACCTCACAGGGAGATTGTTACAATGAAAGGAGATGTGGCTTAAGGAGATAGACTATAAGCTGTTTAAGACATCTGTAGGTAAGCATTCATTTACCAAATCCCATTAATTTCAATATTAAAGGCACCCATTAAGACAATTTAAGCATGTCTGCTATTTTGGGGAGAATAGCCTGTTCTCAGCTTTCTTAACTTTTATTAATGCTTGTTACATTATTAGTCAAAGCCTGCAATCAGCCTCTGCTCAGCTGTTAGCACCTTATTAGGCTCATTACATTGTTACCTCTAATAGCAGGATGACAGGATGTCATCAGTTTCTGGGCTGCTGAAAGTACAGCACTGAGAGGCTGAGATCAGCTAGAAGGATTAACCACCCATTCTACATGTTGTGCAGTTGTTTTTTTTTAATGCTGAAACAGTGTATTATATGCATCTTTGGCTGCAACATCACTGTATGTGACTGCTGTCATTGCTTGTTAGAAAAATAAACAGTAGGATTTTAATTGTCTAAAGTTACTTTTAATATTGTTGTTCCCTATCTGATGTTGACAATTGGCCAGCTGGAACAATCTACCCTAATAATTTAGGAAAGACTTGTCTATTAGGGTTGTGCAAAGCTTCAGTCGCTGATTCGATTCGGTGGAGATTTGGCCCGATTTGACGGCTGAATCTCCAAATCTGAGTTGAATCAGGAGACCCTTTAATCTCTCAAGAGATTAAAAATCAAGAGTCCCATAGGAGCACAGGGGGTGGGTCCCCAGCGCACTTGGTGGTGGACCGAGAAGTGGACAAGAAGCACTTCTGGGTCCTCCGCAGAGCATGCAAGGGACCTTCCCCCCACCCCCCAACTTGGCAACTGGTGCTTCTTGGGTCTGGCGGAGCATCTGGGGTCCCCCCATGGCTGATCACTGAGTTGGGGAGGGTGTGGCGGGGGTCCCCTGCATGGTTGGCAGTGGACCCGGAAGTAGACTGGAAGTTCTGGGTCTGCTGCTGAGCACGTAGCGCCCCCCCCACCCCTCCTGTGGAACACTCCATCCGTCCCACCATCCCAGCATTCACGAGCTGCACGAGCATGGTATGTAGAAAAAACATTTGAAGCTGTGTCTATGGCTGAATCGCTGACTGTCCAAATCAGCATTGAATCTTCAGATTTGGATTCAGCCAAATCAAATCAGGACAGTGATCCAAATCAATTATTTGAATCACTGTCCCTTGATTCGAGCTGAATCCGAATCAAATATGGCCCATTTTGCACACCCCTAATGTCTATGTAAAAACATGTATAGTACCAGACAACAAACGATCAAATGAAGTGGGCTTACATGTAGGCACCAATTTGCCTAAAACAAATCAGAGATGTATCCACAACTGCCTGCAAATATATATGTGCAAACTAGCAAGTCAGATGTCAAACATTCTTGAAGCTGTATTGTTCCCAAGTAGTGCTAGTGTCTGCTATTTGAAACTGTTTTCTGATTCATGACACAGACAAAAGCCTTGGTAGTTTTCTGCATACTATTATATTAGTGCCTCTCCTTGTGATTTAATGACTCCTATTACTCCTATAAGCAACCTAGTTAATGATGTTCTACTAGCAACATATATTTTTTTTTTACTATATTGACATTATACTTTGTGGTATAATAGATTTATGTTATATACATAGCCTTTTTCAAATACAATGGTATATAAAGTGGACTATGATAATAATTGTGTTAGAAAAAATTTTAAGAGACAAAAATCAAAAATGGGTTAGATGATTTCCAATCAATGTGGCATTGCACTTCACAGCAGTCCACATATTTTTGTCAGCTCTTGAAGACTGGCTTAGAACTAAATTAAAAGTTGTGGCAATTTTTGTTCAATGACATTTTGTGTTCCATTGTGCCTTACACTTGACCATTTTTGTCCAAGTAACAAAAAAAACCTCCACACATTACATTGATTCTCTTCCTCTGAAACATGCAGCTGAATGAAAGACCTAAGATGCCTGATACAGCACTTAATGACAGAAAAATAGTTAAGGATTCCTTAAAGATGGAAAATGCGCTTATTAATTTAAAATAACAGAAAGATGTAATAATTTGCTAGATTACAAAAGTGTTTCATACTTTGAAACATTATGATAACTTGTCAGTCGCAAGTTGAAATCAGTTTCTGCACACTGCTCACTATGGGTGCGTCCCCATGAGCAGGAATGTGTTTCCCTGGGGACAAGTAGCAGTGGCATACATCTTGTCGGTGAGGGGAAGCTGGGGCCAGCAACTCTGCTGGCCCCAACAGCCTGAGGATCTCTGGAAGCTACAGCTGTGGTGCTCCTGCAGCAGGGAGCCTGGCTAGCCAAGTTCCAGTTTTGGGTGGCATGCACTGCTGCCATATGTGCCACCCTGGGGTATTTTTTAGGTATGGGATTTTTTTTACGCTGGGATCTCCCAGGGTCAACAAAAGCCCCTGCACTGCAAAGCAGCAGTGCAGGGAATGCCTGTATGTGCAGTGTCGTGCGTGTGGTATATGGCACCACAGATTGGTCTGCGGCACCACATATCACACATCTGCATTTGTCGGGGTGTGCCCTATTGGTCTTAGCCGATTAACTATTCCTTGGCTTTCTTTCTCTAGTTATGGCTTATGCAATACATCAAAATGTGCTAAAAACTCATATGCAAATTGTAGGGTGAAATTTAATTGAACAGATAGAAAATGTTTTGTCCTACTGAAAATTATGCAAATAGCCAAAATATACAAATAAACAATATGCAATAAAGTGGGATCTGTTTTTATGATGATGGTATTAACAACCACCTGTCTTGAAACAGACATCCCGGTTTTTTATAGCTATTTTTATAGTTATTTTATTAGCTATTTACCAGGATAATGGCAGGTATATACTAGATTCTTTTCAACAACATTTCGCTTGCACTCATCTCATAGTGGCCATCAAAGTAAATGACCGACTCTCATGAATTCAGTTACTTTGGCTCAGGCCCTATATCGGCACTTCTATAGTCCAGGACAGTGATTCTCAACTAGGGTGTTGTGAGATCCTTATAAAGGTGCTATGGGCTGCTCTGCAAAATTACCTCTGTTAGGTGTGTAAACACCTACCAAACACATACACACGACTCACAAGATAAACTCAGAGATTTCAAATATGAATTCATAATGACAAAAACATTGTGTCCTATTGTGGTCTTTCTGAGCTCCTTGCAACAGAAGAATTACTCTATTATTTTCTGACAGTCAAAAAATGAGTAGAAGCTGAATGTTGGCATTTTGCAAAGGGTGCCTTGTATCTAAAATGGTTGAGAACCACTGGACCGGGATCTTTAGACATTTTTTCCACTATTATTTCTAAAGCTGATTCTGCCTCAAGTAAAGTTCATGCAAGTTTCAACACTGACTTCAGTAGGAGCAACTGGGGCATCTTTTTCAGACAGACTTGAGCATCTGTTTATCTTTCGGTGGCATTGTGGGCAGCTATTACCCATCTGAGCGAGTCTTTTAAACAACCAGAGCTATAATATTAGCATGCCGTACCTTTGCAGATAAAAGCCTCAGATATACAACTGCATAAAAACACTTGCTATTATAATTTAATTTCCAGGATTTTTCTTTTTATTGCTTGCTTATTTCTTTTCTGATAGAATTTTTAAAACCTCTAAATTCTGGGTGGGACACTCGTATTCAAGCAGCATAGTAAAAACTATTATTCATACTTTGTGTTTCTGCATTAGGTATTCTAACCATGCCTTTTTATTATGTGATTACAACAACAACCATTAGTGGTAAGACAAAAACAGCGCACACTAAAACAAAGATACATCTTCCCTTGACTTTCTCTTAGATGCTACCTGTAGAGGGCAAAGAAGCCAAATTAAAACAGCCAGAAGAAATAAGAACAAGAGAGGACAGATGGAAATTCCCATAAAATCTATTCTGTGAGTAGAGGTAAGAGGAGGAAAGAGCAAAAAGAGATACAGAGGATTGCCTGGAGTTCTGTATGACACATCCAGGCAGTCACATGACCAGGGCAGAGTGCTGTAATCCTTGTGAAATGGCAAAATCTTCCCCAGTAAGCTTATCACAATCAAAAGGGGAAAATACTGTACACATTTCCTTGAGTCTAAATGCACACAAAAGAGAGAGAGCGCGCGTGTTTTGTGGCACTATTATAGACTTAAAATGTCAACGACCTAACTTGTTTTGATTTCATGCTAACTAAAGAGAAACTAGATACATTGAAGCAAAAAGCACAAAGTAAATATGCAGGAATATATGTGACCGAATTACAGCCATAGTAAATGCATCACAGGCTGTGCCTGTAATTTTCTTTTCTGTGAGACCAGTGCAGTGCAGAACTATACAAAAAAAAAAGCAATGTATTTTCAGAGTGTTATTAATTATCTTTAATACATAATGTGTCCTCATGGATACAATGCCACCAATATAACAGTCAGTTTCTCATGTTTTAAGATTATGTTTTGAGATACTAATATATGTATGAAGAAAATACAAGAAAGTATCCCTTTTGTGCTGTTAAATAACATCCTTCAAATATTATCCTTTTAATTGATATTGCATGCAGAGACACAATCTTATTTCTAAAGAAGCATTTAGTCCACAATAGACACGTAATGAAGCAATTACTTTCAGTTTCTTGTTAGGGGTAGAAAGTGTAACTGAACAGAGTATTAATATAACTTGATGTTGCTCATCTTATACAATTGTTTTTATCTTCCCCCATCACAGGACCACTATCTGCAATAATTGTCAGATATTCTTAGGATTTGCTGGAAGACCAAGAGCCACTGTTTTTAGTCTCTTACAGTGGCTGAAGAGGTGTGTTGCCTACCCAAGAGGATGTTTTATCTGAGGATTCAGCATGCTGCTGAGAAGGAGGTTTGCCTTTGGCAGAAGCCAAAACTAGAAGGCTTCTAACTGGATTTTATATCCTATGATTACTTTTACTAAAGAGTGATGGTAGGCAACCAGTTTTTCATTTTGCTGTGATTCTCTATATTGTATTGCCTAATTTACTTGATTTACCATACAGGGTGTAATGTGTTGATCCTTTCTGAATTTTTTTTCTTTTCTTTTTCCATCTATTTGACCTCTGCACTTTTATTTCTAAAAAAAAGTATTAACACTCTAAACCAGTGCATTCTTCTAAGTAAATTAGAAAGACCTGATGGTACCTTTCCAAAGAACTGGCTGTTGAAACACAGTGCTCCAGGAGTCTCTCCCTCTCATATTTGATGTTCCCCTCCCCCTCAGAAGAGTTTTAGGCAGATGTGATTTTTAACAAAAAAGATAACGTTAAAGAAGTCTGCATGGATGTCGATCAAACAATGATACTTAGCACAGTGCTAGCATTATGTAAATGTAGGAGAATCACCGTTTGAGACAAGCTTCTACAAAGCAGGTAGTGATTTAATGAAAAGCAAAAAGATTGAAAGGGGTTTGCCAGAGTCTTATGTGATATGAATGTTAACAAGTCAGCTCATGTCACCATCATCGTCCCTGCTCTTCATTCTAGTCTCTCTCCCTTTCTCAAGCCAGCTTGAAACCAGGGAATTACAAACTAAGGAAAACCCTTCAGCTAAATGTATAATTAGTCTAAACAGGATCAATGCAGCCCAATTAATCAGTTTTACTAACTGAATTTGCATTTTATGTCTGAATTTCTGATCAAAACAGGAGAAATGTAGCACGTGCTTAAAATGCAGATGCATCTGGAAGCTCTTTCCATTTATACAGGCAATAGAATAGCAGACCTTTTCCATATACAAAAATATACTTGGAAAATACATTTAGTGTTTATCAATATATATTTACATAACTGAGCACCAAAATGTCACTTTGCATGGATTCTTTTTGTGGATAGGGCTAAAACCGCCAATTTAGATTCAGGTGACCTGATTCTTCTTCTCCCCTCCCCCCCAATCAAATTCATAAATGAGGAATAATTACATTGATAAAGTTTTATAATGGGGTAAAACCAGCATCAAATGGGAGGGTATGGCAGGAATCTTTGCAAAACAGGCAGTTCTTGTTTACAGCCATCCAAACCAAAAAATACCCTGAAATTAACAGGAACTTATTGCTAACCACTCAAGAATGCATGGCAGCATAGCTTCTTGGGTCACCCCCATCACCACATCTTCTGACTCAAATCTACAGCATCCACTTAATATTTTTCCAGAAAGATGAACACTTGCCAGGTTTGTCAGTCTGCTAGACCTAATTGCTCAGGCCAAGGAATGTCATGCTTATATAGCATAACTAGTATGTTATTCTGGAAGTAGTCCTATTGATTTTAAATGAACTACTTTGCATGTGGCAATATTTGGGCTTGAATAATATTTCATTCTGAAGCACGGGAAATTAAAAAAGTACAATACCCTTTGCTTCTAATAAAAGAAATGCATAAATAAGATTTTGCATCAGTTCATCTCTTAGCTATAACAGTGTTTTACCCCTGTATAAATCCTTTGGCATATGGTACATGGAGACACTCTTGATTTACTCATGAAAGAGAGGAGTATTCCCAAAAGTGGTTTTCTATTTTATTATCAATTGAAACTCAGCACTGGTGACCCCTCCTGACCACCACCTGAACCCCACCTTGTTGCCTCCTCTGGCCTCTCAGAGTCCCACCCTGCTATCTTGCCTGCAATGACTTCATGCAGAAAGGCTGCCCCTAGAGGGCAAGGTTGGGGTAGGTTTGGGGCATTAAAGCCTGTATCTAAGTTGATGTACTCTGGCCTTGGCTCACTTTGATCTGGCTGGGTCCATCCGCCCAGGGTACATGGTACCAGAACTCTCGGCTCCCAGTCCCCAGCTCCAAATCTCATCCCTTGCTGGCTCTAGGCCCCTCAGTGCCCCTGGTCCCACTCTGTGGGCTCTGGGCTTGCACCCCAGTCTCTGCTGTCTGACAACAGTGTCCTTCTACAAATGACAGTGCCTAGGATCTGGGGTGCTCCTGCATACCTTTCTCAGTGGGCTCTTCTACCCCTACAGCCACAATTGGTTCCCTGTTTTAAACACAAACCAAAAACATGAGTGTCCACTCTCCAAACAAAAGGCTCCCCTCCTCTGAGGGTTAACCTTGGCCAGCAGGAGCACTAACAGAAAGGCTCAAAGCACTTAACTGTTGCTGCTTGGGGTGCAAGGATTCTTCCAGCTCCTCTGTAACTCAAGAGTCCTTCCTCTGTGAACAGCCCAGACTGGCTCTTCCCTGGAGCTCTTCCTCCTGTGACTCTTCTGGCCAGACTCCCCACTCTGGGTAAGGCCCTAGGCTTACGAGTCTCTCCCTGGGTGACCTGACCCTCTATTTCTGCCCCAGGCTTGCCAGTTACCACCTACACCTAGAACACGTGGCCTTTTATTTAAGGCCCCTTTGCTAAGTCTGGGGTTGTCCAGCTGACCCTTTGCTCCCTCTTCCATCCCATAATGGGGTAGGGGCCCCATCAGATCAATATATTATCCAATATATAGTTGCTTTAATATATGTAAATATTAAAGAACTGCTGACTTAACTTGATGCCACACTTTCTTTTAGAAGATGGCTTGAGGTCTGATCTTTGTTCTTACTTAGGCACAACACCTTTTTACCAATAGTAGTGCTGAGTTTTCACTACTGGACTGGGTTCTTAAAATACCAAGTTTCCTCTTCTATTTCTTGCTTGTCTTCTAAGGCTGAAGTGAACTGAATTTCATCAACATTTGTAAAGGGCTTTGTGATCTTCAGATGAAAGTTACAATATAATTACAAGGGATTGTTTATTATTCTCTTGTTTCTTGCTTGGTGAGGATATTCATAACAGCTGATTAATTTCCCAACATTGGTCAAATGAAGATTGCAAGTACAAAAATCTATACGTTCTATTGTTTGCTTTTACTGTAATATCCAGAATTCTATCATGGCTCTTCTGTTTTAGAAATTGGTATCCATTATTTAATGGTTAGATTATCATGTACTAATGATACAGGGGAAAGTACTGTAAGCATTTTTCCCTCTAAAGCTAATCTGCAGCATAAGCAAGAGACACAGTCAGACTTAAGAAAGTTTTTCATACAACCCTGCTTAGAATACCATATTTACCCAACTCAAGACAACTCAAGACCCGCCCCCCCCCCCCCCTGTTCGTTTTCCCGCTG